TTCTTTATCCAGTCACCTGTTGAAAAAGATTGAAATCTTAATGGTGGTTATTGCCAAGAGGAGGTAATGGATGGCAGAGGAGTGGTCTGTTCTGGTCTCAGGCTGTCTAACCCACTGGCCTGCCTGTGACACGTTCCAGGGTCCAGAGGGTAGGGGTGGGGAGGAGGGGCTGCACAGAGTGGACTGGGAGGGTCCCCTCAGTTCAGGGCTGCAGCAGGGGGTCTGAAATGACAGCCCTATGCCCGACCTCCCTGTGGACTCCCACAAAAAAGAAAGTGGGGCAAGGGGGCTAGGAATTGAATGGGTTTGAGAAGAAGAGAATCATGACAGGTATAATTTTTTATCTCCCAATTATGCTTCCTTATCAGTAAGCCAGTCCCTAGCCCCGAGTCTTCCTAGATGGTCGCCTTTCCTTTTCTTCATTTATTTTCCAGCCCTCATCATGAAAAATCCGAGGACAGAATGGAAATTTCGAGCCCCGGGAAGGACTTGGTATCATTGCTGTAAGTTTTGAGGGCACCTTTGAGCTGCAGAAAGGAAACAGAATTCCCTGAATTGTTCTTATTTTCAGGAAGGAGAAAGAACATCACATTTTCAAAATATGAGAGTTACTGACACCCCAGCTAAAAGAACTTTCTGGCATGACTCTTTGTTCTAGGAGATAACATGTAGCCCAGGGAAGATCATTTTTCAATAAAGCAGAAAAAAGCACCTTATTTCATATTTACACGTGTTGCTCAGCAGTTGCTGGGCGAGTATTTCTACTACAGGTCCACGTAGGTCAGAAATCCAGACAGGTTCATTTCTGCTAGAATTCAGCCAAAAGGAATAAATATAAGCCAGCAATTATTTTTGTGCCTCTGCTGTCTCAGCACTGGGGTACATGAAGAGATATCAGAGAATGAGGGTGATGTTTGCTTTCTAGAAACTTCCTTGAGCACAAACAGTCACACACAGGAAATAATTCCAACTGTGAAACAGTACAAACTAGATACTGGGGTGGGTGGCAGCCAGGCACCTCACCTTGGATGTGTAGGAGTTCCCGAAGATGAGGTCAGTGAGAACCACAGTGGTAAATAAAGAAGCATCCGAATGGTCTGGAAAGCCAGCCTCCTGGGTTCTGACCCGCCTCCTTCACAGAGAGGGCACCCGGCTCACACCCATCCTGGAAAGCCTGGTCCCATGCCAGCGAGGCCAGGGAGCAGAGACAGCAGTGCCACAAGCCTCATTACAGGACAGCCGTCCCCCACAACAGATGCAGCCCCACCCAAACAAGAGAGTTTGGGGACAAAGGAGACCTAAATCCCTTGGCCACCGCTGACCCCCGCCCCTCTCAGCAGCGCCGTGGCCTCAAAGGGGCCAGGTGGCACCTAGGGCCAGCCTGCCATCCGCTCCTGGGAACTGGCATTTTTTAATCCTCTCAATTAGAAATGTAACGACTTCTTGCTTCCATTTGCCAGGCTGGCAGGGAGGAGGGACAGCCAGCCAAATGCGCTCTGCGTTGCTTAGCAGAAGCTGAGACAGAGCAACCCCGAAGCATCCCCTTCAGGGAAATAAGCATTCATGAGACAAGACCCGGATGTGCGCAGCTCTGCCTCCTGGTCCTCCTGGCTTGGCCCCGCCTGCAGGCATGTGATGGCCAGGGACACGGGCTACGTGCCTCTTTTCCTCATCTCTAAATTGGAGTAATAATAGATGATACCAACTTTTGCAAAGATCAAGACAGTGCCTATAAAGGTCTTCTGCCTGATATCTGGCCCATAGCAGTTCCACTGTTAGTTGTTAGGATCTCCATTGATTTCTAGTATTTTCAGTCTCTCCATCTGGTATTTCTCGTCTCTCCAGTGCTGGGAAACATTCCAGACAGTATGTCTCCTGAGATGCAAGGAGAGAGGACTCA